CGACAATAGAAGGCTGAACTTTTGCTCATAATCCTAAATATGTCTATGCATTATAATACAACAATCAGACTCAAATTATGACAATTAGGAGAGTCGAGCGAAAAAAATTTTGTAGTTTCCTACCTATTTAATGATTACTAAAGAAATATTTCTGTTAAAAATTATTCACATTTATAAAAAAAAAACTTGTTAGTTCTATTATTTTGCATATATTAATAAAACTGGTAACAAGCATTATCATTTGTAATATACATTAATTTTTGTTTTTTATCTACAATAACTGGTAGGCTTGTTCAATGACTATTACATGGTAGAATTATTTCTTGATAATGATAATTATGATGACACCAATTTTTGACATTAGAGAAAATCAAAATAAAAGCTCTCCATTAGAAACAGTTGATTTAATCCTTTTTGGAATGCGATGGAGATGCATATAGACGTTTTTCATTCCGGAACAATTCAGATCTATTGTTGCGTGCTATTTACCATTGACCTATGATTTGGAACGATCGAGATAGATATGTACCGTATTTGTTTTTGAAAGATTCAATAGCACTGATTAGAAATGAAAACTAATTTATTTTAACTGATTTCGTTTTCTATTATTGTGTTTCATACAAAAGAATCTCGCTTGTGAGAAGATTAAATTCATTGAAATCATAGCTTATGTTTTTTCGCATATTTTTTTTGTATTAGAAATTATTTATAGAAGTTTTTGAATATTTTTTTTTTTTGATTTCTCATCAAATGTAATAAATTAATGACTATTTCAATGGTATGATGATAGATAATCACCAGTCTTGAACGCTTACTTTAATTTAATGCTAACATTTAGTCTAGTTTTGATATATAAGCACTGAATTATGTATTGGAAACGATTGACGAGATTACCCCCCAACATATATTATACTCGGTGACTGATTCAGAGAATATGGCACGAGTGATCGTCCCTCTTCTAAAAAAATTTTTGTCAATTTTTTCTGGTAGGAAAGGCTAAAAAATGTGCTTCGAAACACATTTTATCATTGTGATCACTTTTCTTCTCTGCTACAGTCCCACGATCATAAAAATTCTAGGTCCGCCACTGATCATACACATAGAAAGTCAAGTTAAGGTTAGTATCATTAATTAAATTTTTTGCAAGTAGAACAATAAAATACCTTGAATAGTTCCCTTAATACTTCTAATAATGTTATTTTATTCCAGAACGAAGATCCATAGAAAAAATAAAGTTGTGTACTAATCGACTGTCAACTGATTCATTGTGACAAGGAAGACACTCTTATTAGAATATTTTCATGAGATTACTATCTCCTTTTCTCTCTCACCATGTATTATATAGTTTAGCCAATATGAGAATTCATTACATATACTACACCTAACTTCAAAGACTTCATAGGTCATGTAATACAATAAAAACAGTTCACTAACATTGCAAAGAGAACCGCTTTTCTCCATACTTAGATTGTTATCTTTAAAAGTAACAGAAAAAGAGTTTTCTGTTTAAATAGAATTAGAAGTAAGATAATATAAAAATGTCTAAATTAGTACTTACGATATTTCGTTCAAACAACACTAATCGTAACTTAAAAATGAATTTCATTCAAGAATTAATTGACAAACAATAGATTTCTGTGATCTCTTATGTGTACTAACGACATAATGAGAATTTCCTTGTCTAATATTTGCTAAATCAGTTTCTATGAAAATTAATAATTATTACTTTATATATTTTTGAAATCCAATGATGCGGATGAAAGTTCAGAATTAAAAGTATAATGAACAGTAAGATAAGAAAATAACGGATGTATCATGTTATTGTTGTCTATGTTCAAAATAATTAAATTTTGTCTAGTATCTGGTGTTGACAAAATGTCTATCTAGTGCATATGACATTGTTCTAACAAAAGTTTACTTTTGTGACATAGGTACATTAAAGATCTTGATTGAAAGTTGAGTTTATTCTATAAAATTAAACATAATATTGAAGTCAGTTTGTCAGCTGTTATTATTTTATGAATAGCAAAATATATAAAAAGACGATTGTAGCAAATAAGATAGAACAAGGAAACATGCAAGGATTAACTTTCCTCTTCAGTTGACAATAGTTGTACTAGATTACATATCAGTTTACCAATTATTTCTATCGTTAATGGTAAAATCCAATGAACATATTTTATTAAACGAAATTCAATTTAATATGTATTTACACTGTTAAGATAATTAAATTTGACATTTACTGAAAATATAATATAATGTCTGTAATAAAAAGACTAACATCGCTCATGAAAAAAAATAAGAAAGATTAGAGAGAAAAAGCAGAAGAAGAATCTAATTGTTTTCTTTAATTTCCTTTTTCTGCAAGCATCTATATGATCGATATTGTCTGAAACAGATCAGGCGAGCAATGCAAGAGTAGATGTCCTTTGACATGTGCATTACACATTGCAATTCTATTGTCGTGTTGTCGGAGGCGAAAAAGAGATGATAGTAGTTTTTACATATATTCTTATATACATCAACAATGAACACTGCTCTAGATAATTATTCATTGTTGTCCTACTATATATATATAGTTATATTCAATTTAAGGTATAGCGAAAAATGAGAGATGTAAGTGTGGTTAAGGTCTTTTTTTTCTTGTTTTACTTTCTTTCTCCAAGAAGAGAAAGTGATCAATCAAATTCGATTCTTTCCGATAACTCGGATGCGTGAGGAAGTTCTTTTTTTAGCAGTATATGTGTGAAACACTTTTACAGCAAAGGTGACTAGTAACTTTTTCCTTAAGTTCGATTTTTTTCTTCTATAAATAATTATATTCTCAAATGTTATGTCGAATTAGAAGAAAGAAAATAATTTCAATATCAAAATCTCATTAAATATTGGCTTCGAATCTTGTGTTTTATGAGAATACTTTTTCATATCAAAATTAAATGATAACATTTGTTTTCTTACCATATTTTTAAACGTAATCAATCAATTTCTATTCAATTTTCATCGTCTACTTCAAAAAAAAATGACACAATAAGTGTTCTGTTTCCTTACTCTAGGTTTTTTTATTATTCTTCCTCAAATTAAACTGAGAACGAACAATAAAAAATATGTTCGGTGTCGTTCTTTCTCTTTCATAAGAAGTTCATTATACATTCTATATATTCCCATCTTTGAATAAAAGGATACTTCTACATTTTTTTTATTCTATTCAACTGATTCAATCACCTACTTCGTTCACTATTTTTCTATTAATCATCATCAATTTTCCATTTTTCTTGATATGTATGTAAATCACTCGTTTATAATCAGTTCTTATATTTTTTTTAAGATGTCATCTTTCCTTGAATTTTTTTTTTCCTGATGCTTACACTTGCCTGAATGTGTCTTATAATGATTCTAACGAACATGAAAAGCTTGAAGGAGACGAACGAACGAGCGCAAACAAAACAAAACTCATGTCGTTTATTGAGACGTTCATATTCAATTTATTGGATACCCCTTAGTTGTTATTATTATTATTGCATTTCATTACAGTAAGAATGAAGAAAAAGGAATAAATAAGTAAAAGAGAGAGAGACAGAGAGACAAAAAGAACGTGTAAAGCTGTTTATCTTTTCGGGTACCGACATATAGAACCTTTATAAGAAGAATTGGTGTCGAACACTCTCTACTCATACACTATTATCGCTCACACATATACATTTCAAAATCTAAAGAGTGAGTGTCTTACTGTGCGATTTCTATCTTATCCCTAGGGAGTCTTTGTGCATATTCGCTTACTATATTAATGTCTTTTCTCATTTTTTTTGTTTCATACACATTAGTGATTGAGTATTGTGGCTTTGTCAAATAAATTTTGATTTAGATTTTCTTTTATATTTTTATTTCAGATCCTACAAATCAATTGTCGTCATCATCATCATCATCTGTATTTTTGTCATCATTATTCTAATATTCATCGCCGAAAACTATGCAGACAAAATTCGTTCTTATCTTTGGTCTTCTAGCCGTCCTGTTTCTTTTTCACTTCAACACTGTTGTAGAATCAACATCTCTTGAACACAGTGATGAACAATGGGATGATGTAAGCTCAGAAGATTTTGATTTATACAAACGTCTTGCATCAGCAAAATTCGCCAGTGGACTTGGCAAACGATTAGCATCAGCTAAATTTGCTAGTGGTCTTGGAAAACGCTTGGCATCGGCTAAATTTGCTTCCGGCTTGGGCAAACGACTTGCATCGGCGAAATTTGCATCAGGCTTGGGCAAACGAAGTGTTGATAAATAAAATAAAAAAATATATCTCTTATATGAATTATCAATATATTTATACATACGTACACACACGTTACTTTTTTTTTCATTATGTCATTATCTATATCTGTGTGTGTATAGGATTTTTCTCCTGTGTATGATGAATAAGATGGATAAGGATTATAGAACCATCAGATGGAATTTTTCTCCAGTTTTTCTTCACTACAAATAAAAAACTTCCTCCCCTTCAAAAAAAATAAATAATCTTGAATTTTTATTTTAATAATATTAAATGGAAAAATAGTCAAATTTCATTTTGTAAGAGTCTCATTGTATCTGATCAGAAAATATACTTAAATTTACATTATAAACATGCTTATTATAAATGTCAAATATCAATCATGAAACAAAGGAAAATGTAAATTTGAATATATGATATTATCTTTTTTTCTATGTGATATTTCATTAAAATGAACGATCAACATCTTTCATTAGCTATAAGAATTTTATAATGTATATCAGAGATAAATAATAATTTACAAGAAATGATGAAAAGTAATAGTATCATCAAGATGTTTTAAAATTGAACATGAGAAAGAGAGAGCACAAGAGACATTTGAATGGTTCAATATTTCTAATTTTGATTTATCCATGAATAAATTCAATCCTGTCTTCATCTTATGTCTTGTTCGTATGAGAAGAATGATATGAAAATTTGAGGAGGTCATCGTCTCGTCTTCTTAATATGTATATATATATTTTTTTTTATTTGGATGTGTGCTTTTTGATATAAACGACCATTGTCCATATGTCTACAGTGAATTGAACCGGAACGGAGACGATCGATAAGAAGAAATAAAGATCTGTTCAACAACACTTTTTCTTTCTCATCAATACATACATATTACTTTGTTCATTTGTATATCAAAACGAAATGTCTTACCGTTATGTGTATTCAAACAGACCAACAGCCGTAGGTGCAGCTCCTGTTGCTGGTTATACTGTTGAACCGGGAGTAATGTCTGCTGGTTATCCAAATGGTATGGCAGCCAATATGTATGATGATCGTCGACGACGGTAATAAACTATTCTTTTGTTTGATTGGTTTTTTTTAAGTATTTTTGTTATTAGATCATATTCACCAGGATCATTTTCGTCAGATAGTGAAAGTACTGATGACTATGAATATCGCGGACGGATGATTACACGTGATGCACGATGTCCACGTGATGTAGTTCGTGCACCAACTCCACCTCCAATTATTAAACGAGTAGTTGAACGAGCTCCAACACCTGAAGCACCTGTTATGGAACGAGTATGTATTACATATTATAAAGCAAAAACAAACATTATTTGATTTCTATTTCTAATCTATAAGGTTATCATTCGTCCACAAGCTCAGGAAATTGTTGAACGTGTTATTGAACAACCACGTACACCACCGCCACGTATAATTCAAAAAGAAATGCAAGAAGAAGCACCACCACCAATTGTTCGAACGCGGTATACTCTCTTATAATCTTTTAAAGAATTAATCAAAGAAAAAAAACTTATTTTAATTAGAGTTATCAAAGTTGATCGTCCAATGTGTAATGCTTATAGTCAACCAGGTTCACCATTTAATTCTGCATTTAATGGATTACCTTCATGTTCTAATGGTGTTATAGGAGGTAGTAATCCTTATCGAACTCATTCAATTCTAGGTTCAGTTGGACGACCAGTTGCATATCATACTGCAGTTGATAACAACCCAAGTTTTTCATCGGCATCAAGTTTTGAATATAATCCACCGGCACCAATGACAACAGCGGGTCCTCAAACAGCAATGATGATGATGCAAGTACCACAACAAGTACAACCTATTGGTGTTATGCAACAACAACAACAACCAGTACAATCCATGGGTGTCATGCAACCACAACAACAAGTACAACCGATGGGTGTCATGCAACCACAACAACAAGTACAATCCATGGGCATCATGCAACCACAACAATCAGCACAACCTATGGGTGTCATGCAACCACAACCAGTACAACAATTTATGTATCGACCAGTTCAAATACAACCATCAGTACAACAAATGGCACCTCAATCAATTCCACCATTATCATCAAATTATATTCCTCAAAATTACATTCCTCAAAATTATATTCCTCAAAATTATATGTATCCAGGACATCAAGGAATGTCATTTGGTTATCGTCCAATGATGCAACAAGGTAGAATGATTCCAAGTGGTATGCCAATGATGGCTGCTGGTAATACATTTGTCCCACCAGCAAGCCGTTTTCCAAGTCAACCACAAATGTTTAATCCAATGGCTCAACAACTTGTCTATTAAGAATAATATCAATTTACACAAACATTAAAATGCATTTTCTGTTGAACTATTCAGTCAGATAATAATTCAATTTCTTTTGTGGATTTCATTATTATTCATTCATTCATTCATTCATTCATTCATTCACTTTGTAGAAGAATAAAATTTCATCTTTTATTTATCCAAGATAAATTCAGATAAGAAAAATAAAATTTTGGTTTCTACTTGATAATCTCATTGTCAAAAAATATCAATCATCCAATTAATTCATATAAGAATTACGTATATATATATATATATCGTATACGTTCATACAATCGTATATAGTCGTTGTTTTTTTCTTATTTTATTGTCAGCTCATTTATCATAACTTTACATATATCAAGATTCTTTTTTTTTTCATTGCAATGATTGATGATTGGTAACAAATCGAGCATTTGTTCTTTATAGTTTTTGAAACAAAAAGAAAACAATAGTAATTTAAGAAAATGTGTTATGAGATACTAATAATTGATCTTATCTATTATTCCGACTTGATAATATGCTATGAGAACAAATGATTAAAATCTTATTACGATTTCTACTCGATGAACGTATTAACGCGTGTGAAGATTTAATATGATATGAAATGAAATATCCAATAACATCAATAGGAATTGAAATAAGAGAATAGTACAAAAATTTTGATGATTGGCTTTCTAATTTAGATAATTCAAATACTGAATTATTTTTACAAGCATATTATTTTTTTTCTTAAATATTTGAAAAAAAGTATAACTCAAATATATTACATTTCATAGATAAAAGCAAAACATATTGACTATATTCATATACATACCTATGTTTGGTCTAATGTTTATGAGTTGTATTGGTTAAGCATACTCGCTATAAAAAAATCTAATAGAACAATATAAACTTCTAAATAATTGTCTTCGTTTTCTATTTGAATAAAACAAACTATGAATAATGTCTTCTATTATCTTCCATAATATTTTCTATGTCATATGTAGATTATTTCGAAAATTGGTGTTACACATTATTTTGAACAAGAAAGTTTCCCAGAAAAAATATGCCTAATAATCAATGGCATAAGTTTCAATTTCTCTTAAATAATTTATAAAAGAAATGATACATTTATATTAGCGTCCAATCTGAAAACTGATATTGAACTGACATTAATTCAAGCTATTCTCGTATTCATCAGTTGCAATACGTCCAATTTAAGATTCGTTTGAATATTTTAGAAGAATCTCAGATTGATCTAGACTAATGAAGTTTCGAATGGTTAATACGAGACTGTAACAGAAAGATGTGCATGAATTTGGATCGTTATTTATGCTAAGACTAACTTCTAAAAATGAAAAAATCGATTAATTAATATCTCGATCGTAGGTGTGGAGTGAGGAGAACAAGTATATTCACACCTAAAACTTTCGTTGACTTTTCTTATTCTCCTTGCTTATGATTACATACAGTATTTTGTTGAAATTAAAAGGCAATTATAAGGCCCTGACTAGAGAACAAGGCATGTATCGATTTGTAGAGGAAGACAACCTCTATTCAACAATTTATATGTATATTATCAAATTCGGTTGCGTACCGCCGAAGAAGATTAAATTCAAAAAATTATAGGTTTCACATTTTGAAAGGAGGCTCTCCTAAACCAAACTTTAAACAATGTAGAGTCAAGTCAGAATCTAATCAAATAATCTGGATACTGTTTAACAGCTCACACACTCGTATTGTCTATGTTGCTTTTTTTGATAGTTGTTTCATTATTACTTCTTGAAGAAATCGTATAAAGAACTTAACAATGGCACACAGAAAGTTTTACAAAAAAGGTTCCAAGATAAGACGAGTAATCTCAAAAATAAGCAGATATATTAAGTGTTAATCTGAAATAATATTCAGCTTTTTTTTCAAGACTAGATCGATTTTTTTTATTAGTATCCTTATTAATAATATTGTTTTCTGATTCTTCTTCATTTCTAAAGAATTTATATGTTGTTTCTTCATCGGACATTGCGAAAGAACAAAGAAATGTCTATCATTGCGTGTATTTGAAATATATTTTCGATTATTAAATATAAAACTATAAATATAGTTCGAAATGGCAGTATGAAAAAAAAGTGTAGAGTTGCTTTTTTCAAACTTTGTCAAATCACATCATAACTCGAATATGAAGAAAAGTAGCATGAATTATGGAAATAGATTGTTCCGGCAGTTGAGCGATATACACTTAGTCTATTTTTCAAGTTTATATAATCGACAACTCTTTTGTTTACCAGAAAGGATCGATGTTATTATCCAAATCATAACAGCAAATATTGAAGTAATCGTTATTCATTAATTTTCACATGGACTTTTAGAATATACGAGTTGTAAAAATATGATATTTGATTCAAATCTCACACGATCATGAAAAATATCATTCCCAATAAAAAAGTGTTGGTCCTGATCATGTTTCCAGCCCCGACAGGATCAGAACTTATTTGTCCATATCTACGTCTGGGTAAAATTTGCTGTAATGTAATATGTCAGCCTATGCGAGATTGAACTTATTGTAACTGATTCATGTGAGAATAGTCTAAATTAATATCCATCTCATTTCGGACCTCAGACTGGATGCTAACACATTTACGAGCGAAGAGCACAGCTATTATACTATTCGACGAAAGAAATCGATAAAAATAAACTTAACAAAAGAAAAC